AAAAAACTGGGAGGTCAAGGTGTTGCATGGCAAATAGCTGAAAAGAACGAAAGAAGCAGATGTGGACCAACAGAAAACACATCAGTGGCTGAGGAGCACCGGGTTGAAAGCTGAGACTGAAGGCCTATTTATTGCAGCTCATGACCAAAGACTCGCAACCAGATCAAAGATGGAACTAACCGGAAATGCAGGATCTGCGAAAAATATGATGAAATTGTCGACCATATTATCTCAGTATGTCCAGAACTTGTAAAAAATTAATATACCCATAGACATAACAAGGTCGCGACATATGTGGAAGATATGCAAGAAGCACAAAATCGAAACCACTGAGAGATGGTATGAGCACCAACCAGACACAGTTACCCAAAATAACGATGTAACTATCCTCTGGGACATGACAATTCAAAATGACAGGGGAATAAAAGCCAACAGACCTGATATTATGATATTATGATAAAAGACAAGAAATTCAGGAAGCGTATATTTATTGACATAGCAGTACCATCCGAGATAAACACCTCCAAGAAAATTATTGAGTAATTGTCCAAATACAAGGAACTGGAGATTGCAATTAGCAGGATGAGGAGAATGAAAACTTAGACGGTACCAATAGTAATCAGAGCTCTGGGTCTCATGAGAAGAGATATGAAGAATTTTACTAACAGTGTCACAGGTAACATAAACATACAAGTTGCCCAGAAGATTGTCCTACTATCCCATATACTAAGAAAAATGCTATCAATTAAATGACAATTCTCCTATAGGGCTTAAGGACCATAGTTTGGACCCAGTTCTACAGGATACAAAGCAGGAAACATAACATACACAAATGATAATAATAATAATAATAATGTAGAATGCCTGTCTACTCCAAAAGTATTGTCAATGTAAAGGGAATATAAACACAGTATATGTTAATTAGCATTTAATATCAGAACTTGAGCAAACAGAATGCATATATATATATATATATATATATATATATATATATATATATATATATATATATATATATAAATATATTAAAGGTCTTGAATAATAAAAAGGTAAGGGATTGTACTGAGCAGAAAGAAAAAACAAAACTAATAATAATAATTAGTACCCTGATGCTACACTAGCGATTGGGATTTTTTTAATTATTTTTTTTAATTTAGAAGATGAGTCAGCCAAGGGAGTCATATCTAGATACTTGGGATAACCCTCAAACGAAGACTGACGGACTGCGTTACCCGACATGAAAGTTTTTCTAACTCGATCCCACCAGCAAGTTTATGCTTTCACCATATCGTGTATACTTGACTGCAGCGCATGTGCATTGTATACCCTTATTATACTGGGTCTTATGATGGTTATATTGTGCTTTGTATATTTGTGATATGATAATAATAATAGACAAAATATTTTTCAACACAAGAGCTCGATTTATGAAAAGAAAACAAAAGAAAAGACTATGTTTAACAATATTTCGACAGTAGATATACCTTCTTCAGGTTATGTTTAAAGCTTGCGTACAAGTATAAGAAAAATATTTAAAAATACAAGTCTTTGTACAAATGTCGCTTGTCTTGAGAAAAACGGTTGTACTGATAATTAACGCGACAAAGCGACTTAAATGCAACCTGCGTTAATGAAATGCAACTGAGATGTGACCTTCATCACCCGGCCTAAACATCTAAGAGTCTGTGGAGTATCATATAATAATAATAATAATAATAATAATAATTAATAAAGTTTCAACATCCTTAATTGAATCATGAAGCGAATGGATGTAAAAACGAAAAAGCGTCCCATTTGCCACCACATGTATCATCCAAATGCTGTATGTGTTCAGATCCGAAGGAGGTAGAGGATTTGTTCAACTAGAACTATCTTACAAAACTACAGCAATCTGTTTTTAAAGATATCTGGAAACTACAGATGTCAATACTTTGACAAACCCCGTACCTTTCAGTGGTTACGTAGTGCAAGGTTAAAAGCTGAAACCGGATGTTTTATTTTTGCTCAACAGGACCAATGATTGATAACAAGAAATTACCAAGCACCTATACTAAAAAAAATGTGTTAACACGAAATACAAATTTTGTGATAAATATCTAGAAACAATCTTGTATCAGGTTGCATAGTGTTGGCACTAACTGAATATAAAACTCGTTGTGATATCTGCATTGGAAAATATGCATCTTTTATGGGAAGGTACCTGTAAGAAACTGGTATGAACATCATCCTGACCTGGTTAAAGGATAGAACTTGTGGCAATTTCATGGTACTTTTCAATACATACAAACAGAATCAAAACTAACTGCTCTCACATCGAGATCAGAGACCATAAAAACAGAATATGCTTTCTTTTTTAAATAATTCCAGTTGTAGTTGGAACCCTCGGATTAATTGGAAAGGTTCCAATAGACTCATTGAAGGGATTACTGGTAGCCCATGCCTTAAAGAAATACCCAAGATCACAAAAACAGAATGTGCTTTCTTATTGACATGGCAGTCCCTTCAGATTGTAATGTATCTTTGAAGATCTTCAAAAATCTATCAAAATACAAGTATCTTGAAATGGAAATCTCAAAAATGTGGCACATGAGGACATCAATAATTCCAGTTGTAGTTGGAGCCCTCGGATTGATTAGAAAAGGTTCCAGTAGACTCATTGAAGGGATTACTGGTAGCCCATGCCTTAAAGAAATACCCAAGATCACAAAAACAGAATGTGCTTTCTTATTGACAATGGCAGTCCCTTCAGATTGTAATGTATCTTTGAAGATCTTCAAAAAACTATCAAAATACAAGGATCTTGAAATGGAAATCTCAAAAATGTGGCACATGAGGACATCAATAAATTAACAATAGATTAAATGAAGGGATTACTGGTAGCCTATGCCTTAGAGAAATACACAAAAAATGTATTCACCAGTACATACCATACCTTATGAAAAGCTTTATGTAAATATGTGTGATCTTAGTTTTTTTTTACAATAATGATCAGTGAAAAATGCCATTTCTGATCTTAAGGATCTGGTTGGCACCCGGGAGGCAATGTGTATACAAAAAAAATCAGGGAAATAATAATAATAATAATAATAATAATAATAATAATAATAATAATTGTTTTATAATTTAATGAAGCTGGTTTTGGGGCTTTTAAATGTTATGGATATCATTATTTCTTTAGCAATAAAATATCTTCAGTTCGCGTCATTTATTCTTCACGAATTGGTAGAAATTTTAACGGATCAATAAACATATAAACAGTTATTTAATATTCATTAAAGAAATTAACATAAACATGTAAACCTTCCACAGCATAGACGTGTATATACGTTTTACCGAAAGTATCTTTTTCAGATAGGGACGAATAAACACGTTTTAAAAGTTTAAAACTAGCTACAGACCTGTTTATACGTCGATATTGATTCTTTTTATGCTCTTCTGAGCTTGAAATGAATCCAATTGTCAACTTATACGACCGGTAGAGGTGATAACCACAATATAACCAAAATAACTGGCGGTAAAGGGGTTAAAATAATATTTAAAATTTAGTATTTGCCCAAACCAACTTCAATAAAATTTAATAAAGTAAGTCGATTCTAAACATTCCTATCGAAAATCTAAGGCCTGAGGAATTATAAATTACTGCAGCATTACAAAATTTACGAAATAACCCTCTTTTTAAGCATCGAATCCTCAATGAGTGCTAAACTACATAAACATTAAATGAAAGAAATGTATATATCTAACTAAATTAGTTATTTTTCGTTGCATCTTTAAAGTAACAGTAGCGTAATTTTGGATCAGTTAATAATATAATATTAAAATAACATTAAAATGCAAAAAAAAAAAAAAAAAAGAAAAAAAGATTACAACCAGAATAAGTATAATTAAAAACAAATGCTTAAATTTTTCAGTTCAATTATGTGCCATGCGTGATACACGATTAGGCGATCATGTATCTTTTGATACATGACTGACGAGGCAGATTTTTTCCCGCAATAGGTTGTAATTTCTTTTTGCGGTAGACCAGTTGCCATCCAAGACTATAGAACTTGGTCTGTCCTACTATTTACCCATAGCTAGGGGGAGAAGAAGAGGATTCATACCTTTCACAAGGGTATTACCATGTAAGTGAATGTAATAGACTTGACTGGAATTTGAACTCAGCTCTCTGATTCCTCAATCCAAACTGCTATTTTGGAATATTATTTATAAATAAAAGATGACAGAAAATGGCAACATTGTTTACCTTCCTTGACTGATGATGTCAGTCAGTTATGTGCCATGCATGATACACATTTAGGCGATCATGTATCTTTCGATACATGACTGACGAGGCAGATATTTCTCCCGCAGTCAGTTGCCGTTTCTTTTTTCTGTAGACCAGTTGCCATCCAAGGCTATAGAACCTGGTCTGTTCTGCTTTTTACCCATAGCTGGGAGGTGGGAGAAGAAGTGGATTCATAACTTTCCCAAGGGTCAGTCAGTTATGTGACATGCGTGGTACACGCTTAGGTGATCATGTATCTTTCGATACATGACTGACGAGGCAGATTTTTTCCCGCAGTAGGTTGTCATTTCTTTCTGCGGCAGACCAGTTGCCATCCAAGGTCTGTCTTGCTATTTATCCATAGGTGGATGGAGAAGAAGAGGATTCATACCTTTCCCAAGGGTATTAGCACGTAAGTGAATATAAAATGGACTTGACTGGAATTCAAACTCTGGTCTCCAATTCCTCATTCTGAGCCGCTACCCATTAAATTTTTAGTGTTTAATAAAATCGGATTTAGCTTTTTTAGTCGACAATTGAAAAACAACACTTGTAAAAATGATTGAAACGTTCAACTGAGAAATATCTGAGTTCAAGAAAAGCAATAAAAACCATATTATACTTATTGAAAATCTCATATAGCAACATATGCGGATTTTTCCTGAAGATGAGGAATAACGATTCCTTCATAGAATATTGGTAATCACCATTATATAAAACGCTGACAGCTCTGTCAAAGGAAGAAAGAGTGGGAAAGAAAGAAAAAGCGAGAGTGAAAGAAAAAGAAAGAGGAGGAGAGAGGGAGGGAAAGAAAGAGAAGAGAGAGGACGAGTGCGAGGAGGAGAGAATGATTTAGAGAAAATGAGAGAGATAGGGATGGAAAGAGAGAGGAAGAGAGACAGACAAAGAAAGAGAGTGTGAAAGAAAAAAGAAAAAGGAGCCGAGAGGGGGAAAGAGGAAGTGATAAGACGAATGCGAGGAGGAGAGAATGGGAGATAGACTTACAGAGACAGAGAGAGGAGTTAGGGAAAATGAGAGACCTAGGGATGGAAAGAGAGAGGAAGAAGGAGAAAGAGAGAGAAAAAGAAAGGGGAGGTGAGGGGGGAAAGAAAGAGAAGAAGAGAGAGGATGAGTGCGGGAGGAGAGAATGAGAGAGAGAGACATATAGAGACAGAGAGAGAGAGAGAGGAGTTAGAAAAAATTTAAGTGATGGTGAGAGAGAGGGAGGGATAGAGAGAAAGAAAGAAAAAGAGAGTAAGAGAAAAAGGAAGAGGAAGAGAGAGGAGGAATGTGAGGAGAGAATGAGAGTGAGGGAGAGCGAGAGAAAGAAACTTACCAACTTTTTTTATGTGTTGTGTCCCTTCAGGACATGGATAATCATCGCTTTTGATAATTTTCTATATTTCGTAGCTCTTAGCAATGTTTGTCTTTTTATTCTCTCCCCTATTCCCTAACTTGCCAACAGTTGGTTAGGTAGAATTTTTCGTTCTTTCCTACTGTTTCTATATATACTTGTAGGTATCAAATTTTCAAAATCTTTCCTCATTATGTGGTTTGAAAATTACAACTACCTCTTTCCGATTCTAAATATATGTTCTTTTTCTTTCCATATCTCTTAAACTTTCTCGTTGCTTCTATGCTCCGCCTATGGCATTCTCAGCATCCTTCTGTACAGCCACATTCCTGTTGCCGCAAGTCGTCTCCTCGTCTGTGAGTAAATTGCAGCTTTACCATTTTTCAAAATTGGTAATGCAAGAGGAGTTGCCTCCCTTTGACTAGTAAGCGACGCGGATATGCCCATCAAATAAAAAAGCTGATATTAAGTTATAGCAAACAATGGATCCTTCTTATTTCACAAATGTCGTTTTAATATGTCTGCGAAAAAATAAAAAAATTAAACAAAATAGAACACAATAGCGCGCACACCATACGTATATATAAACGCCGAGTCTGATTCTGTTCTGTATTGGAAAGATATGACATTAAAATAATGAACTGTTAATAAAATAGAATCCAAATTCATAATTAGGAAAAATAATTAAGCATTCTTGATTTCTTTGCTGAAAAGAATTTTAAATGTTTCATATATTTATTTTTGATAACCAATAATAATAAAATTATGACTACGATCAATTTTGCAAGTTTCTAAACGGAAAAGTTCATAAGTCATTGTTTTAGATAGAATAAGTCATTTTAATGATACATCGGTGTAGTTTGCAGAAAAATGTAACGATCTTTGTATGAATTATATTTGATTTGATAAATTTTCTAAAACGTTTTCACACGTATGAAAATAAAACTTAAGACAGTGTAGGTGAAGTTGATGACTGTTCGATCAAACGATTTTATTAAATATGAATAATTACTTGTTTTTATTTTTTGTTTTTCATCAGATCATCGATAATTTTTTATTTTTCATCAGATCATCGATAATTTTTTATTTTTCATCAGAATCATCGATAATTATTATGCAGCTATGTAGTCTGATGATATAAAGAAGAATTTATTTTACTCAGCATACATATGGGTAAAAATGCATCACATGACAAAATGGAAAATGTTTTCTTGTAACGCGTTTCGTCCTTTAGGACATCATCAGACTATAAAGTCTTAATGGACGAAACGGGTCACAAGAAAACTTTTTCCAATATGAAGAAACATAGTTTTAAGGTGTGGTGCTCAATATCAGAGATAGAGCATATGTAAATATAAATATAAAAGTGAACATTGATGTCAAAACTCAGAGGCGACAGGCTGTTTCATGTTGGACGCAATCAGCCTGTCGCCTCTGGGTTTTGACTTCAATGTCAATCACATTATATATATATATATATATATATATATATATATATAATGTTTATACGTTATTTTTATGTTCTGTTTTAATAAATAGTATTAATTACATTTACCTGCCTGAATGTACTCTGTGGCTAAGTGCTATAGCACATCAGGCCAAGTGACAGCTCTGTGTAGAATACAGGTTCACTTACTGTCGGAGAACATATTTTCTACGAAATTTTTCGGACATTCCGGTGGGTAAATGTAATTAATGCTCTTTATTATAAACAGAGTATTTGATTTAATATTTTTATCTATAAAAATAACTTATAAATAGAATATATATTAAAATAATTGTCGAACTTAGTCCATTTCATAATTAATATATATATATATATATATATATATATATATATATATATATATATATATATATATATATATATATATATGAATAAAGATAAAAGGAAACTTATCTTAGCCAAAGCGTTTCGTCCTCTGATAGCCTATATCATGGTAAAAATACATTTGTCTTGATGAAGTCTATCTGAGAACAAAACACGTCGGCTAGGATAAGTTTTCCTTTTATTATTATTTATTTATTTTTATCCTTTTACAGATGTTTTTAGGTATATTTGAAATTTTAAGCACTTGTACACCCACACGCATCACGAACACGCACATGCACACACACACACACACACACACACACACACACACACACACACACACACACACACACATATATATATATATTAGGTATCATCAAAATGGATGCGTTTTTCAGAAATTAAAGTAAAATATACCTACCCACAATTTTTAAATTTTTATAAAAAATCAGGGAATTTTCCGATTGAAACGAAGTTTTAAAGATTTATTCATTAATGAATGACTTGTATACTGAATCGATCAAATTATTAGAAATCCCAGAAATATTTTTGCGCGTTTAGTTTCACTTCCCTTTTCGATATTTCGTCTGTGCTTTTTAATTTCGCGATTTTTTTTTTTTTTTTACCGTTATGCAAAGAAAAAAAATCCCTGGAGATGTTATTTTAATAAAAAAATTAAGAGACATTAAGTGTGAACATACTGAAAATTCGTCACAAACCTTAATAAATATTAGACTTACTCCCGATTCTTTTTCTCTCCAGATAATCTTTTTCTTTCAATATATTATTACTCTTAATCCACAATGAAAATGATTACAATGAAACAATATCAAGTAATCTTACTGTATGAGTAAAAACTAGGAAAAAAGAACCATTTTTGCCTCGAATCATGCGATGATAAATGGATACTCTTTGACGACAGTAAGAGAGTTGGCCATTGTTTAGATACAAGTGAATCACCAAAACAATACCAAAAACTTCCACTGTACCCTAAGAAGTTAATGGTTACTGTATGGTGGTCTTTCAAAGGGGTTATTCATTATTGCCTCAAAGGAAAACAATAACAGCAACCTCATATTGTGGAGAAATTGAATGTATGCATGAAAACTTGAAAAAAGAAACATTCTAGACTTGTGAATAGAGATGGCCCAAGTTAGCTGCATGTTCGCACGCTTCTCAATCAACTGTCTAAAATCTGCAGAGCCTGAATTATGAAATTTTGTCTCATCCTCCATATTCACTTGATATCTCTCCTATTGATTATCACTTATTTATGTATTTTGAGCTTTTCATACACAATAAAACATTCTTCAATAAGGAAGAGCTAATCAAAGTATTTGAACTGTTTATAACATTAAAGAATGAGAATTTTTGTTTAAAGATAGGATCAAGAATTTAGGGATATGCTGAAGAACAGTCATTCATCAGAATGGTGCCTATTTCGACTAAATAAATTAGTTATTCAACATTTCAGAAGTGTTTTATTCATTTATTTACTCATAAGTGCGTCATTTCATGTGTGACAACCTAATACGTAAATGATTCAATAAGATTTTTTTGAGAGTTAGTGCTTGTATTATTTATTAAAGCATTTTTTTCAGACTGGACAGGAAAAGTATCTGCAGTTAATATTTTTTTTTTTTTTTTTTTTTTTAAAGAAAGAAACTTGTAATTTTTCAGTGTGATTTTGAAATTAATCACTTTGTTGTTGTAAAAAAGTTTTATTTTTATTATTAAATAAAGGCATTATATATACAGTAATTCTCAAGTTGTAGCCAGACTCATCGCCGGAGTGTTTGGAGTTGGTGCCTTTAAATTGGGGTGGGGCTTAAAAAGGGTGTAGAGTAAATAAGAATTTTTACACTAAAATAAGTTCACATCATTTTTACAGGTGAGTGATGAATTATTTTTGTGAAGAGTGATATGCTTCCCTAGATACCTTATTCTTAGCGATAGACCTGTTTGTAGAAATTTAACGATTACATAGGAACACTATTTCGTAAATTGTTTCGCAAAAAATATACCTTGACATACCCCTTTAAAGAAAAAAATGATCTTAAAACAAAATGCTATACCTATCGAGTCACAGAATGATCCCGTCTTCTAGTCAACTAATGAACAGAAAAAAGTAATACAGTGTTACCCGGATATAAGAGACCCGGATATAAGAGAAACCCGGATATAAGAGATATTTTCTCTGGTCCCAAATTAGAGCCTGTATTAATGTAAACAAAATAGACCAAACCCGGATATAAGAGAAACCCGGATATAAGAGACTTCTTCTCCGGTCCCGACAACTCTCTTATATCCGGGTTACACTGTAAATGATAAATTAACTAATACATTTCTACAAACTTGCGACCCAGAATGAATTAAGATCTGATTAAAAAAAAAACTTATTAAAAAAATCGATATCTTAAAAACAAAATCAGATTCCATATTTAATTATTAATGAATTTTGACTTAAAATCTTACTTATTATAAAACGCAGATTGTGTGTGTGTGTGTCTGTAACGTTTATATATTGGATCGGATTTCCTACATTTTTCAACCGATTTCAACAAAACTTCACTGGACTACATAAAATTACCTTGTGGTGGTTCTAACAGCGCCAAAAATGGGAAAAATATAATTGTTTTTGCACAAAATAAATTTGAAAACACGATTAAGAGACATTGTGAAAAATGGAAGGGGACAACTCACATCGGGTTGTTTGTGTGTGTGGGTTCCTTTAAATATGGGGAGCGGATTTCCTATATTTTTCAGCCGATAAAACAAAAACTTCACTTTTTTTTTTTTTTTTTTTTTTGGCAGGTGTGTTTCTTATTCTCTTGCATACTTTTTTTCTTTATTTTTAACATTCAGAATGCTTTAAAAATTCCATTTACAAGACAATTATTTATAATAAAATTCTATTCAATTGGGAGACTCATAACGATTGAAAACAATGTTTTTGTTTGAGTTTGGGTTTGACCAATTCGTAAAAAATAAAAAAAAAAACTAATTAAGACATGCGTGTCCGTCAACCTTAAACAATAATCTAACGATCTCTACTGATTGTACGAATACAAACATCGGATAAATTCTTTATCTTTAGGGAAAGATAATGAAATCTAAACATACACAAGTCCTAACTAGAAATAATAACCGGAACGGGAAACTAC